GACGTGGCCGACTGGGAGCAGCAATTGCCCCTGATTAAGTTCGCGTATTATAACGCCCCGTCAGCCACTACACGACGGTCACCATTTTACCTTACCCACGGGCAGAACCCTAAAGTACCGATCACGCCCAACATCCAAAATCCAGTACCACAAGCCCAACAGTTCGCCGAAATATTACAGATTGCCCAGAAGCGAGCAGCCGAAGCCATTAAGCGCGCGAATGTAGTTTCTGAGCGCAACGCCTATCTATACCGACGTGTAGTAACTTATCATGCTGGAGACTTAGTATTGCTCGACACCTATAACCTTCGACCACCCATCATCCCAAAACTCTGCCCCCGCTAGTGTGAACTATTTACCATTAGCCACATGATATCTCATGTTATAGCCTATCTACTGTTACCGGCCACCTAGAACGTCAGCCCATCATTCCACATGCGAATACTTCAACCATATATCGCCAGCACCAGTAAGCTGTCACGTCACTGAGCAAACCTTCTGAATGCTCGCCGAACCAACTGTCGAACCTACGAAAGTTCTCAGCCATCGGATCAAGGATCCTAGAGGGGCTCGCCTGATCGAGTTTCTGATATCTTGGAAGCACCGGACGGCCCTGGAAAACAGTCGGGTGCCCCTGGCACAGATCGAGAATTACCCGGTGTTACGGGTTTACCTCCAGTCACATAATCTGCGCGACGTCGTCACGTCGACGATCTTTACTGCCGTAAGACCATACCTTGGAGGGGGAAGAGTGAAAGGAAATGGTATTTCCTTATCACGGGTTTTAGTCGGTAAGGCGTACACTGCTATAACGGGGTTGCCGCGCAGCTCTGCCACGGAATTCAAATCGCGGTCCCAAATGTGGCCTCCTGACGAGTCGCGTACATTGCTGCCCGCCTTGCTTTGTCATGCCTAGATCAGGGCTGTCGTTTCAAAAAAAAGCACCCTGAGTTGTCGAATGGAAAAAAAAAAAGTACCCTGAGGGCCTTGTGTTGAAATTTAAGCTTCCCTGATTTCTCAGTGTTCTGGAACTTACAACCCTGAAACCTTCAGGGTTGGCTAGCCACAAACAGGGTTGCATTGCTGAGCAACGAACGCGTTCAGGGTTGCTTTCAACACGAGGCGGGAATAAAAAATGGGGGGAAAAAGGGGAGGGAATCAAGCCGAGGGGAGGGGAAGAGCGAAACGGAAGGGGAAGGGGGAGGATGGAAACAGAGGGGAAGAGAGGAAGCGAAACAGGGAGGGAAAAAGTGGGGGTTGTTTCGAAATACAGGTAGAGAGGAATGGGAGAAGCGAAACGGAGGGGAAGGGGGAATCGAAACAGAGGGGAGAGGGGAAGCAAAATGGAGGGAGAGGTGGGGATCGAGGCGAATGGGGCAGAAACCTCCCGCGCTTGCAGCGCCATGGGCAAATCGAGGACGTTAATCATACGCAATCATCTAACGGCTGAAATTTGTCGAAACGATCGCGATTGATCGTGGCCGTCAAAGTTCGATGGACTTTCAGTTGACCACACGGGCAATTAAAAAACACCTGGAACACACGTCAAAGTTTTGAATGAGACTTTCACATATATTTTTTTAACTGCATTGGAATGAGAGTAAATTCCGCATTTTAAACATAGGGAAATTCTCGCCAGTTGCCCATTTGGTCAACTGAAAGTCTAACAAAATGTAACGGTCACGATCGTTTGCGATCATTTCGACAAATATCAATCGTTCGATGGTAGGTAGTGATTAACGTCCAGGATTTCCCAACCGGGGCGCTGCAAGGGCGCGAAATTTCTCCCACCGCCTTATGCCCCAGCTTCCCCCCTTCCTGCCATTTCGATTCCCCCCTACCCCTCCATTTTCGATTCCCCCCTCCCCTCCGTTTCGATCACTTCCCCCTTCCCCTCCGTTCGCTTCCCCCATCCTCTCTGTTTCGACCCCCCCCCCCCCCTCACGTTCCCCCCCTCTCCCCTCCGTTTCGCTTCCCCCCTCCCCCATTTTGATTCCCTCTCCATTTCCCCGTCGGTTTCGATTCCCCCTCCCCTCAGTTTCGATTTCCGTGGCAGTGCGATTTTACCCCCTCGATTTTTAGGAATGGCTTCCCCGTTTCCCAGATTTATCAACGCAAAACAAGGGTTCACAGGGTTGCTGGTAGGGGGGTGGCGAGCCCTGGTTGTGAGAGTGTGGGAGGGGGGATAACTTGTGTACAATAGGACTAAGCCGTTTTTTTTTTTGTGATGTCACTGCCTATCAAGACTTAGCTAATTTTTGTGGGTTGTTGTTAGGTGTGTAGGGGGGATGTCTGTACGACACATGACTTCGCTGATTTTTGTGGGTTGCTTGGTGTGTGAGCGAATGTTTGAGGACTTCACCAATTTTTGTAGGTTGTTGTGTGTGGGGGAGAATGTCTCTGGAGATTGGGGACTTTGACTAAATTTCCGCATTGTGAGCTACATGGATGTCGCACTCACGGTTCGTACGCGTTACTCCCTGAAAACTCAGTTTTGGGATAACGCAAACCCTGAAATTCAAAGTGTTCACAGACATACAACCCTGTGTTAAAATTATATAAGTTATAATTTAATATAGGCTTGGTAGGTTGTTACTGAACCTTTCTGTAGAGGGTACAAACCCCTTCTTGTACTCCTCTCTCTTCCTAATCAAACACCTTTCTTCTCGACATTCTCTCCCTTCCTAGATCCGTTTTCCTCACGCCATTCCATGGCGGCCTTCTTCCTAGTATTCTAGCCAACCTAGCCTCCTAAGTTCAAGAACCTTGAGTCCTAAGTTTCTAAGATGGTATCAAAGCCGGTCGTGTCCACCGGACCCTCTCCCTACGTTCCCGTTGCGTACTCCTACTGCATTCGCAGCCTTCGCGGTTTTCTGCCTGCCTGCCGTCGCGGCACTAAGTTGTCGCGACGGCCCCTTGTTGCCTGTCGTCGCGGCGCCAGGATGTCGCGACGGCCCCTTGTTGCCGGCCGTCGCGGCACCAAGGTGTCGCGACAGTCCCTCGTTGCCCACCGTCGCGGCGCCAAGGTGTCGCGACGGCCCCTTGGTGCAGCCGTCGCCCGTCCGCCTCGCCGCTGCGACATTGACGGTGCGCTGTGGCGGCGTCTGCGGCAGCCGACGGCATCGTCGGGCTGCGGCCGGCCGAGCGACGTCTGTGGCGTCGCCGGGCCTGCCGCCCGCTCGCCACAGACGGGCGTCCCTCAGGACGACGTCCTCCCGCCAGTAAGCGCCGCGCCATTTATGGCGCGTCGCTGAAGACTCGCCTCGCCCCGCCCCCTCCCCTCCCCCCCCACCTGCACCTGCTTCCCCTGCATCCCCCCCTTTCTTGCTGCAGCCGATGACTGCCATGTGAGGGACCTCTCCACCGCCGAGGAGACAGGACATGCCGCCGAGAGGGCGGGGGCCGCCGCACCAGCCTCTGTCGTTCGAGCCCCCGGCGCCGCCGCTGTTGCCGCAGGCCTGGAGCCGCCGCACACCGCCGCCGCCGCCGCTGTCGTCACTGTCGCTGCTGCCGCCATTGCCGTCTCAAGGGGCCGTGAGACCTACCCTCTTCCGGAGTCGTTTCGGCTCCTGCTGGGAATGGGGGTGCTGGGCTAGGGGGTGTGGGTGTGGGTGTGGGTGTGGGGGTGTGCGTGGGCTTGACACTACCAAGCCTAGGGAGTGTGTTAAAATTATATAAGTTATAATTTAATATAGGCTTGGTAGGTTGTTACTGAACCTTTCTGTAGAGGGTACAAACCCCTTCTTGTACTCCTCTCTCTTCCTAATCAAACACCTTTCTTCTCGACATTCTCTCCCTTCCTAGATCCGTTTTCCTCACGCCATTCCATGGCGGCCTTCTTCCTAGTATTCTAGCCAACCTAGCCTCATAAGTTCAAGAACCTTGAGTCCTAAGTTTCTAAGACCCTGAAGAGGTTAGGGTTCAAAAAAGCCCAACCCTGGAAATTAAGGGTTGGCCAAAAAAATACCCTGTGAAATCAGGGAATCAGGGTAAAATACCCTGATAGCGACAGGCCTGGCCTAGATCCGGGCGCTCCGTGTCATTTTACGAATCACACGTCGCAGCTATGCCAAGCCACGAACGTGTGCTCCTAGGCTAGCTATATCAGTGCTCCCTGCTGTTTTGATGTTGATCAGTTGTATTGTTTCCTCGTTAATCAATCCTTCGACACACGCTCTGCGCTTCATTACAGGCACGCTCCATTTGTTGCATTACTGGATTACACCCGAATTTATTAATAACTGACGCCTAGACAGGGCGTTGGAACACGTCAGGCCTCCCCCCTGTACTGTAACGGAGCAGCCATGTCACCTCAGGGAACAGAACGTACAGTAAAGTGTTTCCCGAGCAGCCAATGAGAGCGACGCAGTGAGCCCGTGCATACGCCGAACCTCAGGGGCAACCAAAGGCGTTGGTTTGGTTGGATGACATACAAGTGTGCAGGGCGCGGACTTTTAGTTAGTTGGATGTCATCACTGATCGCAATTGATGTGGTACACACGGCGGGAACGCCCCACGGGCCACGGCCTTGGGCTCGGCATTACGGTGCCATGCTTCGTACGCTGCCTTGTTCGTTTTGTCCCGGCTCGGGCAGAAAGCCGAAGGGCGGTGCAGCAGGATAGCATGGCCATGCATGCGAGCAAATGGCATCGATCCACATGCAGTACTGCTGCGTCGCTAATTGGGTGGCAGTGGTGAATGTGATGGTAGCGGTGGGATGGAGAGGGCATGCCATGATGAAAGTTCGAATCTCCGATTCAAACATTCGGGAGCCACTTTCCCCAGATCTCCGTGCATGCGACATCTGCCCGAATTCCCCCACTCAAAGCAGCCTTTCGTTCTTTCGCACATTCAAACTCTCCGTCAATGCACGTCGGAGACGCTAACCCATGCACGTCGAGTTCAGTCATCGTCATCGTTGGCCGTCGGAACTACCAGCCAGCACCATCCCCATCGTAGTTATATCCAACACCACCTTGATTTCTTCGAAGAAATCACAGCTCTTGATTGAACTACCTTTACCTCCTAGAGATCTACGAGGGGAGCGCCAGTGCTACCCCCTCGCCGGTAGCTCGCATCCCCGTGCCCCAACCAACCGTCGATTCCTCTCAGTTAGGTGTTGCAATCGCAGTTGCCTTCCGCTTCCCCGGGCCGTCTCCAGTAGCGTCGACGGACGGCTCCCAGAGCCCCAGCCCGCAATAAGTACCGACAGCACTCGTTTCTTCGGCACCCAAGCCATCGCCATGGCGGGTGAGATGGCAATGCGCGATGTGGCCGAGGAACACATCTGCGCCGTCGTGTCGTCGCGCGACTGCCCGATGACCAGCGCTCCCAACAACGAGAGTCCTCATCGGGAGCGCGAACACTTGCTGCCGATGCAGCAGCAAGAGCTGCAGCAGCAGCAGCAGCAGCAGCAGCAGCAGCAGCAGCAGCAAGGGCAGCATCGCGGTCGGAAGCGTGCGCCGCTAGTGGAAGTGACGAACCTGGCGGCCATGGGCGGCAGGGCTCGCGCCACAGCCAAGCGCGCTGCGCTGCGGCCTCATCTCGTTGTACGTTTCTCGTCGCCCCACTCTCCGCCGCTCCCCGCTCGTTCCCTAGAGCAGCGCTTTCTTCCTGCTCGCAGCCTGCGACACCTATGCCACGGCTATGCGTGCTCGCACACCTCCCCGATGCTCTCTTCTCTGCCGAGCAGCCCCCGTTTTTCGCTGGACTCCGCTGCCGCACCCCGGTTTACCTCTTGGTCTTGATCGACGAGTGTCTGGTCCGTCAAAGGCCCTAGCTTTGACTAGCCTTCGGACGTATCCACTAGCCTTAGTCGTCTACTTTTTCCCCTCCGCAAACCCCTCCCAATTTCCCTGACACTCTCCGACAACCCCGCTCGGCAGGCAATGCTCCTTGCCCCTTCTTCTCCGTGCAACACCGTACATGTATCGGCAGCCTTTCAGCATTCTGCTTTTCCCTTTTCCCTCATCCACCTGCCATTCTGTCCCCTGCTGACCCCTCCACTCCCCCCGTCACCTTTCTTCTCTCATCGCTCCTGTCCTGCTCGCTCTCTCTCTCCTCCAGGGCTCAGCGGCGAAGCACCGAGCAGCAGCGGTGGCAGCAGCGGCGAGGGATCGCATGCTCGGCCGAAGGCGCGCTCCCGGGACGTCCCCGACGTGCTCCCGGCGTGCTTCGCCGCGGGAGAGACGGGGTCAGGCAGCGCGGCAGCACCGGCTGGCGCACAAGCAGCAGGGGCAGCACAAGCCGCAGCAGCGCGCGAGGGGAAGCAGGTCGCAGCAGCGGTTGGAGGCGCGGCAAGGGACGTCGTCCGCGCAGCTCACCTCTTCCTCGCACCCTCTCTCGGGGCTTACCACGCTGAGACCACCCCTTGCGACGCCGTGCGACGACGACAAGGCGCAGCTGCCGTGCGAGTCGGTCGCAGTACTGCCAGCGATGCCGTGCGACAGGGCCGCGGCTGGCGCGAGCGAAGCGGGCGTGGGGAGCTGCGGGAGCGACAGCGACAGCAGTAGCAGCAACTCCCGCGCGGACGACGGTAATCGGTCGCGCAGCGGCAGGAAGAGGCTTGCGGGGGAAGGATCGTCACCCGCGGATCGGGCGGCGGAGGAGGCGCGCATTTGCCGGGAGCGGGCGCGTGGAGAGCCGTCGTGTGTGCAGGCTGGCGTGGAGATTGGGGGTAACGTTGCGAGAGGTGCGGAGGAGCGCTGTGGGGACGCGAGCCGTGGCAAGGCGATAATTGGCGATGATGGATTGACCAGCACGAGAAGCACGGCGTGTGCCACGAGCCATGGGCCCTCCGACGCGGCCAGGCAACCCATGCGAGGTGCGCAGGAGTGCGCGGCTGTTGCGGCTGGGGTGGTTGCACGACAGTTGCATGGGATGGAGGGTCGGCGGGTGGAGGTGGAGGGTTGAGGGGTTGGTGCTGTGACTCTCTTGCTATTCCTCCCTCCCTTCTCCCTCTCCATCTCTCTCTCTTTCACTCGCTTTTCCTGCCCCACCCTCTCTTCCCGTCTCTCTCCCTCTCACCCTCCTACCCTCCGTTCTGTTCTCCCTCGCCTCTAGTTCCTACTCTCACCCCCGTGTGCTCGCCTGTTCTTCCTTCTCTGCTCGCCGGCAGACCCTCAAGGCGTTCCGGGGCCATCAGCACAGGCCCCTGCGGTACGCGGCACCAGAGCTGCCGCCCCAGCATTCCTACCCGCCGCTGTGCCAGGGGAAGCCGCCTCTTTGCAGCAGCAGGGGGGCAGGTCGGGCGCGGGGAAGGCCGCGCGGGGGGCGGCTGCGCGGGACATTGACTCGTCGGCGGATCCGCAGCTGTGCGGGCGCTACGTGGCGGACATCTACGGGCACCTCAAGGCCGCAGAGGTACGGCAGTGGCGCTCGCAGTGATGCAGGCGCGTGGGCCCGTGCGCGAGGGGGGATGAAGGGGGAAAAGGGCGGGGGGGAATGGGGGGAGGAAGAGCTGGGTGGGGGGGGGTTGGTGACGTGGGAGGCGGAGAATGCTCGGGTGGGTGCAATGGGCACGTGCCCGTGGTACTTCGTTCACCACCCGCTGCTACTTTGTGGTGTTCAATTTCATCCATGTGCCAATCGATCTCCGTGCCCCCTTCCCTTCCTGACCCCCCCTCCTCTCTCTCTCACCCCCCCTCTCTCTCCTCCTCACTCTCCCTCTCCCCCTTCTCTTCCTCCTCTCCCTCTTCTTTGCTCTTGCTTTCTTTCGTCTCTCTCCTTTGCATGCTGCTACGACCAAAGCTCGATGCCTCGTCCTTGTAACCTTATCCCACCCCCCTCTCCCCTCCCTGTCCCGTTCCCCCCACCCCTCTCACTCCGCCCCCTCCCGCTCTTCCCATCACCCCCCGTGCGCGCGGCGCAGCAGCGCAGCCAGCCGCGCGCGGACTACATGGAGGCGGTGCAGGTGGACGTGAACAGTGGCATGCGCACCATCCTCGTCGACTGGCTCGTTGAGGTGCGCGGAGGAATGGCTGGGGGAGGGGCGGGGAGGGGGAGGGAGGGGGAGGGAGGGGGAGGAAGGGGGAGCGGGAGGGGGAGGGAGGGTTTTAGGGAAGGGCGTACAGGGCTCAAGCACGTTCCACGGGTACCATCGTCAGTCCACTTGTAGATTTTTTAGCACGCGAAACCACTGCTCGCCTGGGAGCTCCCCGACTGCCTCGCTTTCACCCCTTCGTCGCCTCACTCGCATCCATCCCTGCCTTCCTCCCTTCCCCATTATCTCCTCCCTCCCCTACTTTTTCGTCCCCTGTCCCCTTCTTTCCGTTCCGCCTGCCTCTATAACTCTCTGCCTCCAGGTAGCGGAGGAGTACAAGCTGGTGCCGGACACGCTGTACCTGACGTGCGCGTACGTGGACAGCTTCCTCTCGTGCCACACGGTGCCGCGCAGCCAGCTGCAGCTGCTCGGCATCTCCTGCATGCTCATCGCCGCGTAAGCCGCCCCCCCGCTCTGCTGCCCTGCTGCCCTGCCGTGTTGCTACCGTGCACCCATACCCACATGCCTGTGCTTGCAGGGGTACCATGTGTCGCGACATGCCCGTGCATGTCTCCCTGATCGGTTTTGAGCTCTCTGTTCCACGGAGCGAACTTAGATTCTCCATCGTTCTGCTGTGTTGCTGGACCCCTGTGTGCGTTCCTCTTTTCCATGCCATGGAAAGCACCCACCTTTGCATGCTGATTTCTTGCATCCTTTCGTTCCACCCCGCCTTGCTCCCTGTCATGGAACTGTTAGTTACTCATGTTTCCCCATGTGTGCCTTCATTGTTGGTGGCAGCAAGTTCGAGGAGATTTATGCGCCGCAGGTGGACGAGTTTTGCTACATCACGGACAACACCTACACTCGCCACGAGGTAACCACCACCCGCCACGAGGTAACCACCACCCGCCACGAGTTAACAACCGCCCGCCACGAGGTAACCACCACCGCCACCAGGCAACCACGCGCGGGCACCTGCCAAGCGGGTTCAGCATGCAGCAGACTCTGTACACGCGGGTGCAATCCCAATCTTCTCCCGATCTCTCTCTCACTCTCTCCGTGTTCGTAGCACCCCCTCTCGCTCACTGACTCTCTCCTACACAACCCCCACCACCCCACCCCCCCCCCAAAAACCTTGGCAGGTGCTGCAGATGGAGAGCCGCGTGCTGAACCATCTGGCGTTCGACCTGAGCAAGCCCACCACCAAGACCTTCCTCAGGTGCGCCACCTACCCTCTGCTCCCGCCAACCGTGGGTGTACGGGGCGTGTGCTTAGAGGAGAAACAAGACCACCTGACTTTCTAGTCCCGCACTTTTCACATGCATTCGTATCCACTCGGTTCTGCCTAATCCTCGGCACCCTTGTTCTTTGTCTCCCTCTTGTTTTCCCCTACAGGAGGTACATTCGAGTTGCCCAAACCAGCCTCAAGGTACACAACCCCCCAGCTCTCCCTTGCTCTCACTCTCTCTTTCCCTTTCCCGCTTGCCGTTACTCCGTTCACATCTAAAAAACAGGGGGACGCCTCTGCTTATCGATCGTCCACCACGTTACCGTTGCATAACAACCTGCTGCACCAGAGAGTACCTTGTTCGATCCATAATCCCTGCATCGCATTTAGTCATTCTTCCATCGCACCCCTCCTCCCCGTTCACTCTGCCTTTCTCTCCCCGTGCCTTCATCCCCACCTCATCCCCGTGCATCAGGATCCCTCACTGAAGCTGGAGTTTCTGGGCAATTTCTTCTCGGAGCTAGCTCTGACGGACTACACGTGTCTGCGGTTCAAGCCCTCGTGCCTCGCTGCCTCCGCTGTGCTCCTCGCCAAGCTCACCCTCTTCCCTGCTCTGCCTCCCTGGGTATGCATAGCACTCGTTTCCACTGCCCTACACCCCTCCTTCCCTCGTTCGCGCTCGTCCGTCTCCCCTCTCACTTGCTCGTGGCCCGTGCCCTTACCGGTTCCCCTCCTCCAGTTTTCTGTACCTCCTCACCGATTCCACACCCTCTTCCCTATATCTCACTATGTCGGTCCCCCTGTCCCCCGCCCCCTTGTCCCTCTGTCCCCCTGTCCCCCTTGCCGCCTGCAGACGCCTGCACTGGAGGCGTGTTCGGGGTACGCTCCTGCTGACCTGCGGGAGTGTGTGGCCTGCCTGCACGCGCTGCACTCCACCAACGGCCGCCCGCCGCCCACTGCTGTGCACCAGAAGTACTGCCAGGCCAAGGTGCGTGCTGCGTGCTGCGTAATGCGCGCTGCGGGCTGTGTGCTGTGTGCTCTGTGCTCTGTGCTCTGTGCTCTGTGCTCTGTGCTCTGTGCTCTGTGCTCTGTGCTCTGTGCTCTGTGCTCTGTGCTCTGTGCTCTGTGCTCTGTGCTCTGTGCTCTGTGCTCTGTGCTCTGTGCTCTGTGCTCTGTGCTCTGTGCTCTGTGCTCTGTGCTCTGTGCTCTGTGCTCTGTGCTCTGTGCTCTGTGCTCTGTGCTCTGTGCTCTGTGCTCTGTGCTCTGTGCTCTGTGCTCTGTGCTCTGTGCTCTGTGCTCTGTGCCCTGTGCTCTGTGCTCTGTGCTCTGTGCTCTGTGCTCTGTGCTCTGTGCTCTGTGCTCTGTGCTCTGTGCCCTGTGCTGTGTGCTCTGTGCTCTGTGCTCTGTGCTCTGTGCCCTGTGCTGTGTGCTCTGTGGGCTTTGCTGGAGAGGGCAGGGGTTGCAGGGACACGCACATATGCCAGCCCACTTCTTGAGTTCTTGCTATCGACGCTTCTGCTCCTGACTTCTGTGGGCTGCTCCTCTGTTCGCATGCCTTTTGCTCCTGATAACCACAGGCCGGGCACCATCCACTTTCCCCTTGCCTTCCCACCTGTCCTCCATTGTGTGTGCAGTTTATGGCCGTGGCATCTATTCCCATGCCCGCCCACCTGCCGGACCCCCTCTGATGTTGTATCAAGATGACTTGTGAGTCAACTCACAAGGCATCCATTTTCCTGCCCGCACACCTGCCGGGTCCCCTCCTCTCCTCGCGCCCCTCCGGCATGCTAGCAGTGCCGAGGCAGCAGCAGTGTGGCAGTGGCTGCAGTAAGCGTAGCGCCGTAGAAGTAGCACAAGTAGAAGTAGCAGCAGCAGCAGCAGCAGCAGCAGCAGCAGCAGCAGCAGCAGCAGAAGCATCCACACGGAGCAGCAGTGGCCTGTGTGCATGGCAGCAGCACCAAGCAGGAGCAGGTGGCTGGTGTGGTGGTCCCCAGTGGTAGCTTTGGGGGTGTATCAGTGCTTCTGGTAGGCTTGTGGGGGTTGGGCATAAGCGACAGCATCAGGAATGGCTTGCAGCAAGCTGCCATTAGCTGAGCTGTGCAGCTGCTTTTTTATGTATTGGGGTCTCCTAGAAATGCGCTAGCATACCGGTAGGTGTGAGGAAGGGGAGGTTCTAGGTGGTCTGGTCATTATTCTTAACAGAATGCTTGATAGCAAAGCGGAAGTCTTGAGCTGAACCCTTGTACTAGTACCGTAATCCCCCGGATAATGGACCCGCCGGTAAGAAAGTCCATGGGTCCTTTACCCGGGGGTGGGATCATCTATTTTGGCAGACCCCGTGAGGACCCGCTTTTTGACATGTAACATTTTAGGACCCCCCAGCTGTGTTTTCTTGTAGGATTTTGCATGTAAGAAGAGAAACTGCTGCTGATGCTTTTACTGTACGGTTGGTGCTGGCAGCAGGTTGGTGCTGAGTGTTCTTAAGCCTCTTCCCAGCCTCCTCTTCCCCATATTCGGCCCTCGACTAAGAGCGTGTTCGAAGAAACGTACTTCCAATCCAATTCGTTTCAGAATCGTGTTATTAATGGCAATGAATCAGCTCGCGTCAATCTCGCACTGTACAGATTTGCGCTCGTCTGAAAAATTCGCGCCTGAAATCAGGTTTGGAAACACACCTTGAATCTCAATAATTCCAACCGTGCGTCACACCACTCGAACCGCACTAAACTGCTTCGCGTCACAATTACGCGACACTGTAGCGAGAAACTAGGCCGCAGGAACACGCTCTAGCAGCGTGGGTGACAGCAGTCAAGAACCATCGCGCCACGCCAACACACGAAATTTGACGCATGTCACTCTGGTGGTACGGAAAGATGACGACAAGAGGGTTCTGTTTCCGCGATACAAATATAACTCCCTATGTAGAAAGGCCTTACATCCAGCACAATAGACACTTACGTGTAAAATATCTGAACATGGGTCCTAATAATTTCCATCCACATTAATGTCCACCTTGACGCCTTTTCCTGTAATTCTAAGAAGACCATAGGGTCCAATAGCCGGGGGATTACGGTATGTGAGGACAAAATGATATCAAAGTGAAGGAATGACAAGAACAGTGACATACCGTATTCCTTCGTATATAACACCCTAGGGTATTGTCAAAATTTCATTAAAAAAAACGTATGGGTGTTAACAGTAGGCTGGAAAAATAAAACACCCATGTCTTATGTAAAATGCAAAATGAATTTGGGATGTAACACGCACTCTAAGGCCAGAACTTCACCGAGCATCTGCTAACGAGGAATCTGCTACAGAGATTGCGTACTCTGACAGGGTCAGTTTGGTGCCTTTGAAAACGGTGGGAGATTGATGCTGCAGCAGTTCCAGGTGTCATTGACCAATCTCGTATGAGTGCTGTGAACAGAGTCACGACCATTGCTAACGCGATCGAGGTGGTTCAACAGCAAGATGGACGGTCGAGATCCTCTCGACACTTTTTGTCTTTCGATTTCATGTTGCCACTTGTATTGATTCTTCTGCCCGTCTTTGCGCTGGGAATGGCAGGTGACGCGATTTTAATCGTGTTCGTATTTTTGCAGCTGAGCAAACCTTGGTAATGAAGGACAGAATGTCAACTTATACATAGTATTATCTATGTAGAAGTTATAGGCTAGACTGAGGTATGCTTCTAGTGAGTACAACCAACTAGTATTTGTTCTAGGTTTCCACCTCTAGTAATCATTCGTTTCTACGTTAACATGGTATCACGCTTAGGTTAGGATCCCCCCGCCTACCGCTTCCGCCCGTCGCGCCTCCTAGGCCCCGTCGCGCCCCCTAGGCCCCATCGCGCCCCCCCTGGGCCCCGTCGTGCCCGCTGGGCCCCGTCGCGCCTCAAAGGCCCCGTCGCGCTCCCCCTGGGCCCCGTCGCTCCCGCTGGGTCCCGTCGCGACCCCTAGGCCCTAACGCGCCCCCGCTGGGCCCCGTTGCGCCTCCTAGGCCCCGTCGCGCCCCCCATGGGCCCCGTCGAGCCCGCTGAGCCCCGTCGTGCCTCCTAGGCATCGTCGCGCCTCCTAAGCCCCGTCACGTCCCCCCCCTCTGGGCCCCGTCGCGCCCGTTCGGCCCCGTCGCGCCCCTCCTAGGCCCCGTCGCGCCCGCTGGGCCCCTTCGCGCTTCCTAGGCCCCGTCGCGCCTGCTAGGCCCCGTCGCGCCCCCCCTGGGCCCCGTCGCGCCCGTTAGGCCCCGTCGCGGCCCCCCTGGGCCCCGTCGTGCCCGCTGGTCCCCGTCGCGCCTCCTCGGCCCCGTCGCGCCCCCCCTGGGCCCCGTCGTGCCCGCTGGGCCCAGTCGCGCCCCTTAGGCCCCGTCGCGCCCACTGGCCCCTGTCGCGCCTGCTGTTAGCGCTCGCCCGCCTGGCCTCCTCCTAGTGCCGCTCGGCCTCCTCCTAGTGCCGCCCGGCCTCCTCCTAGTGCCGCCCGGCCCCTTCCTAGCGCCGCCTGGCCTCTCCTCAGCGCTGCCCGGCCCCTCCTCGTGCCCGACCGGCCCCAGCAGCACCAGCCTGGCCCCTCCCAGCACCAGCCCGGCCCCAGAGCACCTGCCCGCCTCCCCTGCTCGGCCTGCCGTGTCCTCTCGGGCCCTGTGTCTTCTGCTTGCCTGCGCTGGGACGCCTAGCTGCTGCCCTACTGGAGAGTGCTGCCGCCGTGTCCCCGCGCCGCTGTGCTCCTGTGCCGCTGAGGAGCTGTGCTGCTGTGCCGCTGTGTCGCTGAGGAGCTGTGCCGCTGACCCTGCACGATGGCTGACTTTGTGCTCCGCCTGGACGCTGAGGGCCACGCGGTTGACTTCGCCGCCTGGCTCTCCGATCTTCGCCGCCAGCTTACAGGTCAGCGCCAGGATGGCCACTCTCTGGTTGTCCATGCTGATGGCTTGCTCCCCCGTCCTCCTGCACCTACTCCCCTCCCTGCTGACCCCTCCTCTGATGACCGTGAGGCTTTCTCTACTGCTGCGCTGGCCTGTGCGGTCTGGGACTCACGCGATGCAGTAGCTCAGGTTGCTATTAGTCACGCCCTCCCTGTGTCTGAGCGCTCGCGTTTTGCTACTGTTGAAACGGCCAAAGCTTATTTAGACGCCGTTATTGCTCGCTATTCCACCCCTGCCTCCGCTTCTGCTGGCCGCTTGCTCTTTCCGATGCTGTTCCCAGACCTGGCTGCCTTCCCTACTGTCGCAGATTTTGCCACTCATTTGCGTGCCCTAGAGACTCGCTATCGCACTGCCAGCACTGCTGCCCAGCTCACTGCGCTCCCCCCTCCTTTCTGCATGACGCTCTATTTTATCGCTATGCGCCTGCCAGACCGCCTCGCTAGTGCTCGCGACCACTTTCTTAGCCAGCACCCGGGTGACCTCACCCTGACCGCCTTTGTCGACACCCTCACTGAGATCGAGACTCGCCAGCGCACTATCGTTCAGTCGAGCGGTGCGCCGGCAGTCTCTATCTTTCACGGCTGTGCCCCATCCCAGTGCACGTTCACTGACGTTTCGGCTGCGGTCGCCACGGCGACCCCTCTTACCGAGACGGCTGCTGCTGTCCACCCGCAGCAGCGCTCGCGTCGCGGTGGCCGTGGCCGCCAGGGAGGTAGGGGTGGTGACGCAGGTGGTAGTGGTCGTGGTGGTGGTGACGGTAGTCCGCCTGAGGGGACTACCACCGGTGGGCAGGAGCAGCAGCCCCAGCAGCAGCAGGACCAGCCCCAGCCGCAGCCGCCGTCCCAGCAGCACCCGCCGCAGCCGTGGGCTCGTCTCCCGCCTGGTTGGCCTGGCACCTCCGGAGGAGGTGGCCGTGGTGGCGGCCCGCGCAGCTTGGCGTCTACCAGCGGCTCCAGTGCTGTGACCTGCCAGTACCAGCTTCAGACCGGGCCTCTCCGCGGCACTCTGTGCCGCCGCCCGCACCCGACCGCCCGCTGTTTCCGCCGCCTCGACGATCTTTTTCGTCGTCGCTTTGGCCTGGCCCCGGACCTCCCTGACTGGCACAGCCTGCTCCGCCAGGGCGTGCCGATCTTTGAGTTAGACATGGATCAGATAGGTGCTGCTTTGCATGCTTTGTATGCTGACGCTTCTAGTGTTGCTGGATCTTACTACCCTGTGTACTCTAGTTTAGGTGTTTCACCCTTGTGTAGCTTAGCTTCCCCTGCTGCGACAGGCGTAGGACTGCCTAGGTTGCCTAGTCTAGTCGCTGCACCGGCTCCGTCCCCGGCCTCCGCCACTGCGTCGCTGTCCTTCACTCTCGACTCTGGTGCTTCTGCCTGCTTCTTCCGCGACCGTTCCACGCTCACGCCGCTTGCTGCACCTGCTGTTGTCTCTCTCGCTGACCCCTCTGCGGGTCTGGTCGTCGCGCGCAGTTCTACGTCCCTTCCCTGTCCGGCAGTTCCCTCGGGCTCCCTTACTGGCCTCCACGTTCCCTCGTTCTCCAGGAACCTGGTTGGTGTCGGCTGTCTCCAGGACCTCGGCGTCACCACCACGTTCCCCGGGCACGAGCGGTTCGCTGTCTGTTCTGAGGCTGTCTCAGGTTCCCCCCTTGCGACGTTCCCCCGGGACCCGGTGTCCGGTCTGTTTACCCTACACACCGCTTCCCCCCCGGTTGGTGCGTCCTCCCAGGTCGCTGCAGCTTGCTCGTGTCGGTCCCTCACTCACCCCTCCCTTCTCTGGCACCACCGCTTAGGTCACCCTGCTCTCCCGCGTCTGCGTCACATGTCCCAGCACGGTCTTGTCTTAGGTCTCCCCGCGTCGCTCCCTGCCCTTCCTCCCTCGACTGCGCCACCGTGCACGCCTTGCGTCGAGGGTCGGCTCCGCCGTGCTCCTCACTCCTCCTCGCTGCGTCCTGCTACTGCCCCCCTTCAGACCCTGCACTTGGACGTTTGGGGCCCTGCCCCCGTCCCCGGACCGCGCGGTGAGCGCTACTTCCTTGTGCTCGTCGACGACTACACGCGCTACACCACGGTGTTTCCCCTGGAGCGGAAGGCCGACGTGCCCGACGTTCTTCTCCCGTGGGTTGTGGCTGCGCGTCTCCACCGCGGTCTCCCCGTGTTGTGTCTCCACTCCGACCGTGGCGGCGAGTTCGCCTCTGGTCGGCTTGGACAGTTCTGTCGTGCGGAGGGCATCACCCAGTCGTACACGTTGCCGGACTCGCCACAGCAGAATGGGGTTGCTGAGCGCCGCATCGGCTTGGTCATGGAGGTCGCCCGTACCTCCATGATCCATGCCGATGCCCCCCATTTTCTGTGGCCGTTCGCTGTTCGCTACGCGGCTCACCAGCTTAACCTGTGGCCACGCTCCCAGCGGCCGCAGGTTTCGCCGACCCTCCTTTGGATCGGGTCCCCCGGTGACGCGTCTGCGTTCCACGTCTGGGGCTGCCTTGCTCACGTTCGTGCCTCTGGCACGG